GTTCTGGAATTCCTGTCCCGCAGATGAGCGGTTAAAACAATGGGAAAGTGCCGAGGGTCGCACACATCCCACAAAAATAATTGTTTTCTCAGATGCGTTCCCATTTTCAGTCCAGCCCCTGTGGCGCCCCAGAACATTCAAAGGACTAAAACGTTCCGTTAAAACGTAGAGGGGAATGGTCTACTGCATTGATAACTGTAGTATATACATATCAAGCAAAAAAGGAGACGCAAAACTATCAAGAGTCATTTGTGTGTGTTGAGAAACAGTCTGGCGCCCCCTGGTGTCTGTGAATGAACTATGCAGGACAGCGTTTCAATGATGTACTACAGTACAATAAAATACTCTGGTTCATGACGCCTCCCTAAGACAGCCATACCGCCCTGCACTGCAGTGAATATGGCCTACTACAGAAAACGTTTGCTGACTATTTATTTGAGCTTCCCAGAACACACACACACACAAAGATTTGTGGCTTGCTGCTTGGCTTGTAGTTTCTGTATGCATGGATCAGAACATTTAGGCTACATTTACATTTAATCATTTAGCAGGAGCTTTTATCCAAAGAGACTTACAAATGAGGAGAACAATAGAATCAATCAGACCAACAGGAGAGCAACAGTATACAAGTGCTGTGACAAGTCTTGGAAGTTTAAAAAAAAAAAAAAATTAGAAAAAAACTAAACAAATCGAACAGAACAGGTAAGTGCTAGTATTAACTGGTCAGGTGCTGACGAAAAATATGTCTTCATACGTTTTTTGAAAATGGCTAAACTAGGATGCACACTGTTCAAACTTTTCCTTAACTGATCATTATTTATTGAAATAGCAGATTTTGGGGAACATACTAACACCAGCACATTTGATCAAACATACAGCAGTGCCTGCCTATATCAAGACATCCATCTACCGCTCCTAAACAGTTTTTCTCACCCCTGCAATGGGCACTGTACAAGTGACAACCTAATAAAAACTAAAGGAAACACTGTAACATTTTTACCTTAGGGTTTGCGTGACCAGCCTCACAACTGTCAAGCCTCTTTTAACAGACAAAACACAGACATAAGCATACGTTTATTTACAACATTTCTCACTTCTTTCCCTTTTGCTCCCATCTCTTCCTTGTAATGTTCATGTGGACTTTCACGTCCATCTTCACTCAGCAACAGAAACTTACTGTCGTTTACCCAGACTACAATAAGGCATCTGTTAACAACTAATAGTCTTGATTGGAAATACATAAATATTCTTTTAAAAATAATAAAAAGAAAACGTTCATTAATGCACAGGGGAGAGTGAGATGTGATGAACCAGTGTTTAACGTGTATAACAGCGCACAGTTTCTAAGTGACCCGATATTCATTGTAGGAGCCCATTATATACCATTATGTGATTAAAAGAAGTAGATGGGATTTGCTAAAAACGTTTTGTTCTTTCCATATAAGAGTAAGGTAAAATAATGAACATAACAACATAAAATAAAATATCAACAAACACATGATTTGGCTAAAGATTAAACTAATTACTTAAACAGGCACCTTTTGCCAAAATGGGAGACAGATTCTCAAGAGATGGTGGTTCAGCTTTCAGCATTATCATTCTCTCATATACTTCACAATTAAAAAACAAGGAAGAAAAAAAATTAGTTGGTGACTTGGTCCTAAGGATCTTTATGACCAATTGTGTGAAGTACCATTACATTGGCTTGATTGAGAATTTTAGGGCAAATGAACCCGATAGCTTGGGGAAAAAAAAACAAGGGTGCCCTTGGTAAGTGAAACCTCTTCTTTCAATGAAATGATGAATTATTTTTTATGTTCCACAAACATATGAAAAAATCTGACCATTACACGGCCAGGAAACTGCAAGGAGGAAGTAACACTGCATACTCATTTTTGGTTGGAATGGTGAACAGATACATGAGGATACCGGTTCTCAATATTAAGGAAATGGGATTGAATTTTTCCCATGTTTGTTGATGGAAAGAATATCTATAATAAAATAATTTTTAAAAAGTGTTACTTGGTTTACAACAGATAGCTTAATGATATAAATGCTTCCTTAGAATTTCAGTGTAGCAATATATAATTGGGTATATTGGTTTTATCCCTCATTTCTCCCGTCCTAGGGCACCTTAATTAAAGTGGCAAATCTTACCTCACTCTCCTCTAATTAATAAATGAGCTGTTCATGTGTTTGTATTCTGCTACAACAGCACAGCAGAAGTGACTTGGCGTGAGAACGAGAGGTGATTACTGATTAACTACAAAGGTGTATTCTGTAATGAGTCTATAAAGGCAAACAATATTAATCTATGTAGTCTAATGGTCACACCCAGAGTGTCCCATTAAACGATAACAGAGGAAATCAAAAATTGTGAAAATGAAAAACTGAATTGCAAATTTGTTTTACATAAAACAAGCTGATAGACTGTTTGCTAAGTATACAATGAACAGGTTTAATGCACTACTTTCCTCTCAGCTGTATTATCAGTTTACGTCACAATTCTGTCCAAATGAGTACAGATTTATATCAAAAACTCACAAAACCAAATGTCTTAAACTACATAAATGAAACAAAACGCATCTTCAAATGACTACACGACTTACTGACAGATCAAATGTCTCTGAATTAAACCATTCTAGACTGTTGAAGTAAAGAATTGTATCATTATTGGGTTATGCCGTTTCTCTTTACATCTGTTTGTGTATTGTACAGCTACCTGTACATGTATTATGTATTAACCCATCACTGAGAGGAATCCCAGGTTATTTGTACATCAAGTATAATGTATAAATAGAGAGAGAAAAGCCAGTGTGGCTCACAATTGTTGTAATACACCATATTCTTGTTTATTATAAATGAGGGTGAATGGTCGCCAGCCCATCAGCGTTCAGAGCTCCTTTGAGGTAAACATGAAGAGAGGTGTCTGCACATTGTCACCGGGGCTTTGAGAATGAACAGTTGGCAGCCTCTCATTCAGTATTTACACATATTATTACAGTCGCCTATTTCCGCTGCATGCTGCAGCTCAGGTCCTCCAGCCAGAAGAGCACACATTGTCACCTCTTGCCAGACGAGGTGGAGGAGCCAGTGGGCTACCATGTTATGATGAACTACTACAACTATTTTCTATTACAAGAATTTCCTACAAGTCAAACACAACCATGGAAGTAGCTGTTGTTTGAGTACTGGGATTGATCAAAGCATTCCCAGTGGAATCAGGGATAATCATGCATCATCCTACAGTGGACACATGGAAAAATCGGATAAATATACATCTTATGACCTCAAATGTACAATTTAAAGGTAACGACAGGTTACCAAAAAGGTAAGTGTCCATTTATTAATACACTCGGTATGTTAATGATGTTGTCGACTACTTATATTGTTATTTCATGGCCACTGCTATTTAAAATTGAATTATATTAAGACTTTCTGGAGATTTTCAGGTTAAACTCAGGTCATATAGCCTGTAAATCAGCATTTTCTAATAAAAGTTTGCTGTATTCGCATCTACGGGAAAGTCATGCACCCGGCAAATTGTCTATAATATAACTATAAAAAGATGATTAGAGAATCCAAAAAGAAATGGATGAATTGTACTTCTGTGTTAATGGTGCACATTCACATTTAACCTCGAAATTTATACACAAATTGACCATGCACCATGAAACTGCCTGAATCTTCGTAAGTCCTAATAAAAATTTTAAACAGCAAAAGCCAAAAAAACAAAAAAAATCTCTGCATAGTGTCAATGAACATGACAAACAACTATTTAAAAAATGTTTTAGAAACAACTGAAAACAAATAAATGTAAAGACTGAAATATTATAATTTGCACAATACAATTATTTTAAACTAGAATTATCCATTTAGTTTAAATTCAGATATACTCAGTATCATTACATTGTCCATGTAAACATGAGGCAGAAACATTACCGTTTGAGATTTTTCAATATTTTCCTATTGTGCATTGAATTGTGCAAAATGAAGTTAAATGAAATGTTCTGAAATGTCTGAATATTATCAAAATTATTCCTGTTATTAAAATACATCCTATCTCATAAACCATATCACATACATTGCTGTTCAAAAATTTGGGATCAGTAAGATTTTAAATGTTTTTAAAGAAGTTTCTTAATGCTCATCAAGGCTGCATATTTAATCACAAAATGCAGAAAAAACAGTAACATTGCGAAATATTATTGCAATTTAAAGTAACGGTTTTCTGTTTTAGTATACTTTAAAATATTATTTATTCCTGTGATGCAAAGCTGAATTTCTTCAGTGTCTCATGATCCTTCAGAAATCATTCTAATATGCTGATTTATTATAAATGTTGGAAACAGTTGTGCTGCTGAATATTTTTTTTGGAACCTGTGATACTATTTTCAGGATTCTTTGATGAATTAAGAAAAAAAAATGTAATAAAAAAACAGCATTCATTTAAAATACACATCTTTTGTAAATACTCTACCGTTCAAAGGTTTGGGGTCAGTACTTTTTTTTTTTCTGTTCCCAAAAATTGATAATAAATCAGCATATTATTAATAAATCAAAATGACTTCTGAAAGATCATGTGACAATGAAGACTAGAGTAATGGCTGATGAAAATTCAGATTTGCATCACAGGAATAAATTATATAAGTATATAATAGAAATATACTTAAGTATAATAGAAAGTTGTTTTCTATTAATAGAAAGCTCACTGGTAAAGAGTAAAACTGGTTATTAATTACATATAAGAAGAGGTCCGAGTAACCAATTAAAATTATAGTGCTATCAAACAGTAATCATCTCAAAAGGCCTGAGAAAGTAATTTACTGAAGGTGCTTAAAAAAAAATGTAAACTTGCCTTCCTGTCTTTCTTATCTGCATACAGAGCCACAGAGCACCTCTAGTGTTCATTGTCAGTAATGCAAGAGACACTTTCTGGTTTTGCCCTGAAGAATGCATTTGGCCCTTCAAGGATCTGATGTTGTGTCTCCCCTGGGAACATGAACCACACTTGCATCTCACAAGCAGCAAACCTTACCACGAATCCTCATCAGGAATGGGAGGTGGTTCTGATTGTGCTTGTGACTGGGCCTCTTTCTCTTATTACCATACTGGGCAACTCCTTGGTGCTCATCTCCATCCGAGTCAACAGTCAGCTACAGACCATCAGTAACTACTATCTTCTGAGTCTGGCGGTGGCAGACCTGATCTTGGGTACGGTGTCAATGAACCTATATACTGCATACATAATCATGGGCCGCTGGACACTGGGACATCTGGCTTGTGATCTGTGGCTGACACTTGACTATGTAGCGAGCAACGCCTCAGTAATGAACCTGCTGGTCATAAGCTTTGACAGATACTTCTCAGTCACACGACCGCTGACTTATCGAACAAAGCGAACTCCGAAGACAGCAGCTGCATTGATCGCTCTCGCATGGGTGGTATCGTTTGTGCTATGGGGACCCGCTATCTTGTTTTGGCCTCATGTGGTGGGACGACCATCTGGGGCTGAAGCCCAGGCCTGTTCTATCCCGTTCTTGAAGGTTCCTCCGCTTACATACGGTACTGCAATCGCTGCATTCTACTTACCCATCACTATCATGATTATTCTGTACTGGCGAATTTATTGGGAAATCGAAAACAGGGCAAAAGGACTTGCTGGTTTTGTTGGATCTGTGAGAAACACTAGAGATATTCTGCATGGGTTGGACAAACAATCAGTGCACCAAAACAGTACCAAGAGCAACCTTAGTCGTTCAAAGGAAACAAATTCCAGAAAGGGACCAGGCAAAGCCAAAGGAAAGTCAGTTGGGTGTTTCAATTCAACAAGAAACAAAATGGCAGCCATTTTGCAGAAGTCAGCTCATGAGAGTTACAAGGAGTCTTACAGCAACAGTAGCTGGAACATTGAAGATGAGGATGATAGCGCCTTGTCCTCTTCAACAGACGAGGAACATGAGCAGAACATCAAGGCAAGAGCACCTTCATCCAATCCAACTGCGATCGAGTTGAAGGATCTCCAAAGTAGATCAGAGGATACCAAGGGTGTGCACGAGTTCTCATCAGCTCAGCGTCCCACCAGACAGTCCCACTTAAAACCACCCCAAAAATCAGACCACAGCATTTGCCACCAGCTCAGAGTTAAACATCGCATCAATATGATCATTAAAGAGAAAAAAGCAGCTCGGACACTAAGTGCTATCTTGTTGGCTTTCATCCTCACGTGGACACCATACAACATCATGGTTTTGGCTTCCATTTCATACTGTGTACCTGAAAAGCTCTGGCAGCTGGGATACTGGCTGTGTTACGTAAACAGCACCGTCAACCCCATGTGCTATGCCCTCTGCAATGAGTCTTTCCGGGTCACCTTCAAGGCACTGCTACTTTGTCGCCGTGGAGATAAACGAAAATGGGACACAAACAGCTTGAATCGCCATGCCTCTGTGAAGCAGAATACGCCTTGTAGTAACATGACATCTTTATGATTTGTCATTCTGCAGCATGGGTGCTTTTAATTGCTCAATGATCCAGATACAGTGCTTCAGTTGGCAGACCCTTTTTTTCCTAGGGAACAACACTGTGTTTGTTTTAACTCTTAATATGATTTAATCAGCATTTACTTCTATATTTGTGTGTGCCTCTGCTTTTACACATTACACTGCCACTGTGCAAAACTGCTTGATTCTGAATCTTGTCAGACACTGATGAGAAGTTACTTAGCCTTTTGGTCTCTATGTCTTTGGCTACATCAAAAGTTGAAGTAGTACTTTGTTCAGATCCAACAAAAGTAAAAATTAATTGTATTATCTGAAATGATTGTTATTTGAAATTGCCTTATGTATAGACCCAATGAGTACAGGAAAACATTTAGCAGCCACTTGACAACAATTGAAGAAAGAAGAAAAATTCTTCTGATGCCATTTTAAACGTGCTTATTCAACAGTACTTTCAAAATTGCAAGGAATATCAATTTTGTAAATAGCAGAAATACATGTTTAGAGTAGTGGTTCTCAACCAAGGGTCTGGGGGCCCACAAGGACCTGAAGATGACTTAAAAAGTTTTAAAACAAGCTTTAAAATAAGCTCAACCCAAACATCAAGATATTTTTTAATTCACCCCCCAACGTCTGAAATTCTAATTTAATTTTAATTCTAATTATTTTAGTTGTGTAATTTAATCTATGGACACTCCTAATTTCAGTAAATTAAAAAGGGGATGTACCTACTGAATGTAAATGTACACAGCACAAGTTAACAAGAAGTGATGAACACAACATATATGGTCTGTGAGTTTTATTTTTCTTGGGAAAAAGAAAAGTGTACCATACACCAAAAAAATTTAAAAGTAAAATAAATGGCCACTTTCTCTCTAGATAAACGGTGCAGTTTTTAGAAAGATTCAGGAAAAACTGTTATATTTTCTAATTGTTTTAATAATAGTTAGTTGGCTGATACCATAAAGCTAAATTATAAAATTTCCCATAATCCTTTACTATGCTGGTACTGTGAGAGTACAACAGAGTGAGTGTAAGCTAAATGTTATGTGTTATGTATAAATTACCATGTAAGGTAAACATGCAGTAACTAAACTGAGAATGAAAAATAAAACATTGATAAGATCCTGTACATGTTATGAATGCCATGAGCAATAATTAATGTATCAGTATCTGATACAAGCCTAAACGTTTATGGAGGTCTGCAGTTATTTAGAAACGGAAGACTTACAAGAGTACACAGAACTCATCTCAGGTCAATTCATTTCTTCATTCAGTATACATTTACAAAGAACAGGGTTAAAAGAGCCAACTGCATGCAGTGCTCCAGATTTATTCTTTAAACAAAGGAAGTTTTGGCTGGATTGCGGAGGTAAACGGCAATAGAAGACAGGAAAATAGGGGAACATTTGAAGCAGGCTGTCTATCTGCCTCAGCTTGCTCTAGGAAGTCAAACTAAGCTTTGGAAAATTTAGTAAATACCACACTTCACATCTGTGTTGTATTGGATTTAGCACTGGGTCACTTGAACAACCTTGCTCGCAAAGCTCTCTGTCTTCACTACCATAATTCAATCCCTAATTAAAGGGACAGCTCAGGCAAAAAAATGAAAATTCTGTCACCATTTACTCACCCGCATGCCATTCAAAACCTGAATGACTTACTTTCTTCTGTAGAACGCTAAGGAAGATATTTTGAAGAATGTTGGGAACCAAACATTTTTCTTCCCATACAATGGGAGTAAATGGTGACCAAGACAAGACATTTCCAGTTCCACAGATGAAAGTTTTATCCGGTTTGTGAGTAAATGACAGAATTTCATTTTTGTGTGAATTATCACTTTAAAGGATGACAATATTTCCAGTTTTCTTAAAAATTTATGTTAAATGGCACACATCTGATGCCAAAAAGGATTAAAATCGGTCTCTTGGTTAAGCTGTACTAAAATAGATCTACTGGCTAACCAACCATGTGGCGCTCACAGTCATTCAGACATCTCTATTCCTCAGTGGTGGTTTCTGGGTATTGCTGATTTTTTTCCCCCAGAAAAACTGTAATGCTGTTATTTAAAGAGCAGGTCATAAGGGCTTTTGAAAAATATCTCTTTTGCAGTTTGTAAGGTAGCTATCCTTCAATGTATACAGTCTGCAAAGTTGTTAATCAAAAAAGTGCATGATAAATAAAGATATTGTCTCTCAAAAGAAAGAGTCGACTCGGAATCGCCTTAACGAGTCGTTATATTTTCGAATCTTCTGCCTGTTACCGATCTACGTCACTGGGTAACACATTAGCATAATCCCCGCCTGCCCACGAAATACGAACTCTCTCTGTGTCGAGAAGATGCTGTGTTCCACGATACCACAGCAATACAATTCAAACTCTCAATTCAAATGTGCTCTCATTTTACTGAGGACTGCTTCTCTAATCTTGGCTTTTATCTTCGTTGGCTTCTAATCTTCTTTATTTGGACTAACAACCATCTCCGAACCACAACCTGTAAGTACGATTGATACCTTGTGTACATTTTCAATTGAGTGCTCAAAATATCAAGTTTTTGTGTTTGGTAGAGAGAGAAGAGGCTGGTGCGCATGTGATACAACTGTTCTGCGTTATAATTAAAGGTTAAGACACGAAGCGTCTTTTGTCTGTCGTTCTTCAGACATTACAGTAGACATATTTTGGTTTTCAAACTGTATTGTTTCATCAGTTAGTCACGTTAGCACTCGGCTAACATATCCACCATTATTGTTTTGTTAAGTGATTACAGTTTATAATCGAACGAACCGTTTCGAAATCATGGACAAATGACTCTATGTATAAATGTATATTCTGAGAAAATTACAGTGTTTTCTGACCTTAGATGCATTTAAACCTGTTGTAGGGGACTCCAACACAATATTAGGACACTTTAAAAAACCATATGACCTGCTCTTTAACATAGTACACATCTAGAGACAGACCTTTCAGTTTTTGAGTGCCAGAAGAATTTTTGCTCAATATCCTACACAAGCTGGCAATTGGCAATTTGATTTGATGAATTTCCATTTGATAAAAGAATACATATGAATAAAACGTGTATGTCATATACAGTGGTGTGAAAAAGTGTTTGCCCCCTTCCTGATTTCTTATTTTTTTGCATGTTTGTCACACTTTAATGTTTCAGATCATCAAACAAATTTAAATATTAGTCAAAGATAACACAAGTAAGCACAACATGCAAAAAAATAAGAAATCAGGAAGGGGGCCAACACTTTTTCACACCACTGTATGTATGACTGTAATCAATGAAACGTCATCACAGTAAACATGACAATTATGGCATTGAAGTTTCTGTCCACTATACAAATCTATCATGTACTCAACAGCAAATCCTTCAGAATTACTTTGAAAGGGATTTACCATTCTTGGTAGAATCTATCAAACTTTGAACATTCACAAACTGATCTCAGTGTAGTCTGCAATACATTGTTCTATGTCTCAATTAATTGCCAACAATTATAATAGTTTCTGGACGTTCTTTTAAACTAGACTTTTTCTTTTTTAGTCCTCTCTTTTAATCCTATTCCTCATCTTTTACTAAATTTTAACCGATTTCTGAACATCCTAATGACACCTAAAAGCACAAAAATTAATAATATAAAAATACAATTCAAAATCACTACCTTTACCTGCACCATTAACCCATTAGTTAGTAAAGAGCTCACACACTGACTGCTAGACTCTGTGCTTCAGTGGCAAATGTAGATGCTATCATTATGAAAAAAATTCCCAAGCAACTCCCATCATAATAATGAGCCATTTCTATTGTTTAAGATCTTAAATACAACACACCTTTATATGCTATACAAATATATAAATATACAAAAACACATTGTTTATTTTCTATTCTGCTTATTATGAACAAGCATTGGCATGCTGATTGGTTTCAACTATTTCTCTCCATGATAAGCATAGTGTCCGTTAGTGATGCGCGGATGAGCTAAAACGTCACCCGAATCCGCAGCTTCAAATAAATTATCCACCCGCCAACCGCCCGCACTTGTATTTTTGTCTGATTTAGATAACCGCGTGTCCGTACAGAGTATTTTGGATATGGCTGAATATGCTATATTTATTTTGGCTGATATAAGCTGTGGTTTATTATTTGTTTTCTGTTAAACAGTGTCTGCAGAAACGGGTGGAAATATCAGGTCTAATATGAGCAGGAACTCAAAAACAGAGTCATAATTTTCTCATAGTGACTTCCTCCATGTCTGTACTGCTGTAAGGGTCAAGAGTGTTTCTGACTGGCTTTGACATTTGGTATGGAAGTACTGTGTTAGTTGTGAGGGGCTAATAGTTGAAAACAAAGAGCAGGGGTAGTTTGAAACTTGGAACTGTGTAACAGTCATACAGAGATCAAACCTGCTGAGATGTGAAAGAATTAAGAGGAGGAGGGCACACTTTTTCTCACTCCCTTTCTCTTTCTCTCCCTCCATTTGTGTCTGCGGGCCTGGGCGAAGTGGTCGTCCCTTTTCTGTTCCACTACAACTTCTGTTTGAAAAGTTTTGTTTGCTTAAATTGAACAAACAAATCTTGGAGGGAACTATGAGAAAGAGGGTCTGTCTTTCCAAAAAGGCCATCACGATGGCGGTGCATTCTGATTTTGGTATATGGAGGCTTTCTCCTTCAGGAGGGCCAAACACAGATGACAACTCCAACTTCCTGTAAAGAATTAAATAATACAGTTATTCACTTATAATACACTTATATCTTATTCATATAGTTCTTAAATGGAACCTTTTTAATCAAAACAAATGCAAAAGTGATTTAGCAATACAGTACATAAAGGTTGGAAAACACTACACAACTTTTAAAGGGGTCATATGATGCGATTTCAATTTTTCCTTTCTCTTTGGAGTGTTACAAGCTCTTGGTGCATAAAGAAGATCTGTAAAGTTGCAAAGACTAAAGTCTCAAATCCAAAGAGATATTCTTTATAAAAGTTAAGA